AGAGTGGCCATCAAGTGTTTCCCGTGTGTGTGCATCTGTGTTGTGCATGGGCAGGTGTCGCGTGACACCGGCGAGGTGCTGTGGCGGTTCGGCAGCGAGGAGCCCTGGAACCAGTTCAAGTACCTCAACAAAGACCGGGGATTCACACACCAGCACGACGTACGGCTCAGATCAGACAAAAGTAAGCCAACCAACACACCCACGCCCACCCATACAACACACGACACATCTCTGTGTGCGGGCCGCAAAGGCCTCACGATGTTTGACAATGGCAACGAGTTTTCGCCGAGATATTCGCGAGCCGTCGAATACGAAATTGACCAGGTGAGGTGCACACACACACGCACTCACAACCACAGGCCCACAGCAGCAGAGAGAGAGCCATGCACACAAACAAATAAACAGGCGAGCAGTGTCTCTGTGTGTGTGTGTGTGTACAGGATAAGCTGACTGCCAAGAAGGTGTGGGAGTACCGGCACGACCCCGACTACTTTGGCTTCGCGACGGGCAACGCGCAGAAGCTCGACAATGGCAACTGGGCCATTGACTGGGGCGGCCTCGGCTCCCCACCTATGCCATTCTACACTGAGGTACCCACCCACCATACCATCCATCCATCCACACACACACATGGCCGGCCACATGTGCATGTGATGCGCTATGCAATCGATATGTGTTGGCATGGCAGGTGACGGACAAGGGCGAGAAGGTGTGTGAGCTTCAGTTCTCCCGGGGCGGCAGCTACCGCAGCTACCGACAGCAGTGGTGGGGGCAGCCGCGGACACGCCCTGAGCTGGTTTACAAGCCGCCCTCGGGCAGATCCCTGGGCAGCGTACACTACTCCTGGAATGGGGCAACCAACGTACCTTACCTTCACCACACCGGAGACACACACACACACACACACGCACAGAGAGAGAGAGAGAGAGATGTCTGTGGGTGTGGGTGTGGATGTGTGTGTGTAGGTGACTGAGTGGGAGGTGTACTTCGGCCCGACCCACCCGCCCACCGAGCTGCTGAACAGGCACCCAAAGAGCATGTTTGAGCACCACCTGCCCGTCGTGGGAGACAAGAAACAGTTCTTCAGGGTCGTGGCCGTCGACAAGGTAACCATCCATCTTAACACCCTCACCACACACCCTTTGACCAAATGCACTCACTGCACGCCCTCTCCCTCCCTCTGTGTGTGTGTGTTGCAACACAGACCGGCCGGCGCATCCGGTCGTCCAATGTGCTGGAGGTGGACCCCAGCAAGGGCGGCGGCGAGCGAGAAGGCATCGGGGGCCCCGCCAGGGGCAAGAAGAAGCCACCACCGTCAACACCGCCGGCATCGAGGAAGAAGAGGAGCGGGGGCGGGGGGAACAACCGGAGAGGGCCACAGGGTGGCGGGAATAATGGCAGCGGAGGGGGGAAGCAGACACACGAGGCGTGAGTGATGCCATTCTGTATGTCTGTGTGTTGTGGGTGGGGAATGTGCCTCGTGTAGAAGGAAAGCAATACTTAGTAGGATAGGAGTGCCTCCATCCATCCATCCATTCATCCAGTAGACCTGGCTTAAGTGACTGCCGTAGTGGGTGTGGTGTGCCAAGAGGCATAGCTTTATATATTGGGGTTATGTCATTCTTAAAGGAAAGGGATAGCGGGGAGGCTTTCGGTCACTTCTCCCCCCTCCTGCCTGCCTGCGTGCTTGTTTCTGTGTTTCTGTGTTGTTTGCGTTGATGGCTCTCTCTCTCTCTCTCTCGGGGTGTGTGTGTGTTGTGTTTCTGTGTGTGTGTTGTGGCTAATCCTCAATAACGTAGAGGTGGTAGCTGACACACAGACACACACGCCCGCTTTGTTTTCGTATTTCTCCCTCCCCGCTGGCTGCATGTAAAGATTGCTATACTAACAGGGAGGGAGGTTTTCCCCTCTCACTCTCTCTGTGTCCTGGATGTGCTGCGTCCACTCTCCCCTATCTCTCTCTCTCTGTCTGTGTGTGTGTGTGCCTTAGAGACACACACACGCTGATGGGATGGATGTGCTGCATGGTGACTGACGTGGTGTGCACTGCACACGTGGACGCCTCTCTCTCTCTCTCTCTCTGTTCCCCTCCCCCTGACAGTTGGTTCGTTCCCTCAGCTCACTCACTGCGCCATCGATCCATCGGACAGACAGTGTTGGTGTTTGAATTTTGCCCTTGCTTGTCCCCTTCCTGGTTGCTGCCTGCCTGCCTGCCTCCCGTGAGTGGGCTGACTGACTGAGTGGTGGGAGGAGGATGGTCTGAATGAATGAGGCCGCTTTTTGGCCCATCCCTCCCGTCCCTCCAGACAGACAGACACACACACAAACACACGGACGGGACGTACTGTATTGTGGATCGATCAGTGGAGTGGGGGGCGCTGCGCACATCATGTCGGACGATTATTTATGCCTGTCAGCATCACATCATGCCAATAGAGACAGACATGTCATCAGGCGACGCAGACACGAACAAGGCATTTTTCGCCCGGTCTGTCTGTCTGTCTGCATACCACCTCTCTGCACATTTACGGAGGGCATGGGATCCATGGCAATTGAGCAGCCGGCCGGCTGCCGTACGTTCTGTATGTGTGTGTCTCCGTGTGTAAGCACGTGTACGTTTGTATGTGTGCAGACAGACACCAGCGAAACAATTGCAAACCTGCAATCAACAATTGACAACGGCGTCTGTGAGAACAACTCTCCCCCCTGTGGCCCCGTGCTGAGCTGAGCTGCATCTGTCTGCAAATGGGATGGCCAATTCACAAGCAGGAAGGAACCGCGGAGTGCGTGCCTGGGTGGAGTGTGAGTGGGGTGGAGTGTGTTGGTTGGAACTCTAGATATCTGGATTGCGTTGCATCCATCGGTCGATCAGCTGTGTGTCAATCAATCAAGGTGAGTGAGAAAAAGAATCCACCACAAGCACATAAAGCACCAAGAACCAACGGCCCACGAGTGAGTCAACCAACCAACGCACGTACAAGCCATCCACACTTCGACCGGACTGGTCCGACTGGTCAAAGCGGCAGGCATGCAAGACGAGCGAGACACGCCAGACAAGCCACATGCATTGCAATGCCACAATTCAGTAAAATCGATCCATGCCAGCCATGCACAGCGCACACCCACCACACCCACACACACACACACACCGCACACCACACACACGATTCCGACTCGGTGTGTCAGCCAGCAGAACGGGCCGTCCTCTCGGCTGCCTGTGTGTGTGGGGGCATGTGTTCTGACGGCACCGTATGCCTATCGTAGGGCGCCAGTACAAACGTGCTCTTTTTCCAGTTGATGAGCGCCGACCACCCAAAGTCCTCCAAGGCCCACATCCCCAGCACCTGAAGGAAAACACACACCAGGTTGATGAACAGGCGCCGGCAAGTGCCACGGACGAGGCCCTTTGGTGCGTAGCTGGGCTGCTTGCTGGAGGGCGCTTCCGACAGGTACTCGACGCCATCCCTGCCCTTGGAAATGATTTCAAGGTTCTCCTCGGTGACGTCGGGCAGCGACAGCTCATGGTCGAATGGCTCAGCACCGGGGTCGTCGTGAATGGACAGAATCTCAGTATCGGCCGCCTTGCCGTCAGAGTGCTGTCGTCGAGTATGAGGCTGAGCACTGGTGTGGACGCTGGCAGAGAAGGAGGCTGCAGGTAGGTGGCGGCTCCTCGGTGGTTGACAGTGGCGGGTGGGTGGCGTGTGGCCGAGGGAGTGTGCTGTTCTGAGCAGGAGTGGGGACAGACCGAACCGGTACATCTGACACGTGAGCCACCCAACATAACAAACGAACAATGAAATCACGCAGCACTACGTGACAATGATGCTGCAGCCAGTGAGCGCCTTTTCTCACCTTTGGTCGAAGAGAGGCTGGGAACCCTTCACCAAGCAGCTGCGACGTCCTCCGGCAGCCCAGTTTGAACATGGCGCTTCCTTGCTGCGAGCGCTGGGACAGCCCGTGTAGAAATATCGGCGAGCTGGTTGGCTTCCCTCGTCAGCCTCCCGGCAGACAGAGAGAGCGGTTTCACGGCGGAACAGGACGGGTCGGACGCCATGATGGCGGTTTCACGCCATCATGGCGCGGCGCATCCCGCCGCGCACGGGAGACATTGAATCACAATCACACACACGCACATCCAACCTGTGCACTGCCGCTGTGTGCGTTTGTATCTGTCTCTGTGCGGCCGGCAGGGACCCGGCGCGGCGAGATAGCCGCCCGATGCATATCGTGCCCCCTGTGTCATTCTTTGCTCTCAGATGTTGCTCGAGAGTGTACGCCTTCCTGCAGTTTCGCGACAAACGACTTGGGCGGCGAAAGTGGCTTCATGAATGCAGAGGTGTGGACCCTCGAGCCAGTGTAGCTCTGCAGGGATAAGTGTGTGTCTATGCTATGCATAATATTGTGCAGCCCAGCCCTTTTCCCATTTATTGTATATCAGTAGTCGGTACGGGAGCCGGCGTGCGTGGATTTCTTTGTGTTCATGTTATGTGTGTGTGGACACCCAGATAGTTGACACATACAAATGCAATGCAAACCTGCAATCAACCAACAACGGCGTCTGTTGTTTCAAAGGCACACCTCATTGACAAATCCACTGTCTCCCCGACTCCCATCCATCCATCCATCCATCCATCCATCCATTGTGTCCATTACGATCCCCTTTTCGCATGGTGGTGGTGGTGGTGGTGTGTGTGGGCGTGATGAGCATTGTGGGTGCCGGGCAGCACCAGGCCCTTTGTGACAGAGTCCGTGGCAATGGCATCGTCTCCTTGGTGTCCGCCGTGGTGGCCGTGATGCTCATGGTGGTTGTGGTTGCTGCTGCTGCTGCCTTGCTGCTGCATCAGCACCTCACGCACAGAGTACTGCAGCCACAGGACACACACACACACACACAGAGAGAGAGAGAGAGAGAGAGAGAGACATGAAGATTTCAACACACTTGTGTCTCTGTGTGTTTGTGTGTGTCTCTGTGTGAAGAACATACGAGTGACGAAGCATTCTTGATGGCCCTTTTGATCTCAACGGTCTTCTTGTGTATGACGGCAATGGCGGTCTTGAACTCGGCGAAGTCGATCTGCTCGTCGCCCGACTCGTCCATCTCGCGCATCAGCTGCTCAGCTATCGACTCGCCGATCTGATCTGGACACACACACGGGGGTGTGTGTGGGGGAGGGGGGGCGTGCTGGGGTTTGGGATGGGCTGACCGATGAGGCTTCTTTGCTGTGAATCGCCTGGCATGATTATCGAGTACATCATGTCCTGAATGGCCTGCAGTGCACCGGAAAGTGTGTGCGTGTATTGATCGTATCGCTATATCGGTTTGCTTACCGCCGCGAATTCTGTCTTGTCGATGAACCCCGAGCCGTCGCTGTCGTACTTCTCAAAAGCGCTGCGCAGCTTCAGCTCATACTGCTGCCGGTTCCTCTGCAACCGGTTAGACAGACGGACAGACAGACAGACATGCCAGAAGATGTCCTCTCCCTCTCTCTGTGTGTGTAACGATCCTCTGCACACCAGGATGACTCGCGCGGCCCCTTCCCGGACAAATGTCTCAAAGCGGATGAAATGCTCCCGGGTGTCCTCCATGTAAGCACCCAGATCCCCCTCCTCTCCCTCCCCCTTTCACAACACAACACGGCACGCACACACACGCACAAGAGAGAGAGGGAGAGATCTACACACATCATGATGTACATCTTTGCCCTTTTCTAGCTCACCTCGTCCATATTCTGCGTCTCGTTCCCTTCGTCGCCAGCACCATCAGCAGCTGATAAAGGTGAAGCGTCCTCCCCCTCTCCCTCGCCCTCTCCTTCAATCACCCACTGATCATCATCACCCGCTGGAATCGCCCCCGCTGACGACGTCAGCTCAATCGACATCCGCTGCGGGCTGACAGTGGGCACCGTGTGAGTGTGGGTGGACGACCGCGACATGATGTTGATGTCCGCAGGCGCGCTGTGGTGTCTGTGTGAATAATGGCAATGCATTCTTTGTTCTCGTGTTCTGTGTCATTCTTCTCATTTGCCCTCAGTCACCTACTTGCTGATGCGCAGGTCGTCCACACTCTCGATGTAGCCGAACAGGTCGGCGTCAATCTCGGTCAGGAAATCGGCCAGGTAGTGGAACTGACCTGACAATCGGAAAAAAGAGTATGTCGATGTCGATTCTCCTTGATATATATGCTGCACACGCTGATGTACACGCACGCAGGCTCACCCCTGTGCACGAGGCCAGTCGCGTGCAGGTCAAGCGCGGCAAAGGCGACCACAAAGGCCATGATGATCCGCAAATCGTCAGACATGATGCCCTAAAGCCACACACGCACACATGCGGTGCAAGGAAAGAAATCGTTATGGAGTTGCAAGCGTACCAGCAGCCCCAGGGGTGTGCCGGGCAGAAAGCCACTACCCGCCCCGTTGCCATTGCCCTCTCCCCCCTCCCCGTTGCCGTTGCCATTGCCGTCGTCCCCCCACTTGAGGAATGGGATCGCCGCATCGCGACACAGAGCCATGGCACACAGCTGCGCATCCATTATCAGATCCACGCTCACCAAAGGCAACCCTGAAATGGATAAAAATGATGCAGAGGGAAAAACAGGAACGGTCAAGGCTCACCGGCGTCTTTGAGAACAGTCTTGACGTCGCCCATCGTGAACTTGATCATCTCGTCCTCAGCCTGAGAGTCCCCTTTTGCACCCTTCCTCTCTGCCTCCCCCTCCCCTCCCCCCTTGCCCTCCTTCTCTCTGTCTCTGTCTCTCTTGCCATCCTTGCGCGTCTTCTTGTACACAAGCAGCCGAGTGAACCGGCGGAAGTCCTGCCACAGCGCCTCCAGCCGTTTCTTCGCCTCGAGAGTGCTCTGTGGCCTTGTCAGGACCGCATAGTAGCTCTGCACAACGTGCACTCTGTTGAGACACCCGAGAAAATAGTTGGCCGACCACCGAGCGTCGTCGCCTGAGGCAGCCACAGCCATTCCCGGAGGTGGGGGGTGGTGAGACTCGACGAGGGCTTCCACGTGTGAGAGATGGGGAGGGACGATCTTGGTGAGTGCGTATGCCCCTTTGAGTGCCGTCATGAGCAGCAGGAACACGACCGACTTCGTGAGCCCACCGCGCTTGTCAAAATCCAGCAGCCCGAACGCGAAGTAGACCTTCTCGTGGAACTCTCCTTGCGAGACCAGGGCCAACGTGATGAGCACCTGGAAGAGATCCACTGTCTTGTGAGGCCCCTGCCCATGCTGAGCCTCGCAGAATAGCCCAAGGAGCTCCTCGACAGGGTCGCCTTCATCGCCCGAGCCCCTCCTGGACGACGGCGACCCGCCTCCATTCGCAAAGAAGGGCTCTTCCCCGCTGCACAGCTCCAGCAGCTCCAGCAAGAGGTCCCCCGATAGCCGCCATACGCCGGGATAGGTGGAGAGGAATTTGTCGGCGCCCTCGACGATGTGCTGCGTTTTGAATGCATAGCAGCGGCCGATGACGGAGGAGGACTCGTACAGGACCACAGGAGAGCCCCACGCAGTGCCCATAACGTGCAGAGACGGGGGCGGGTGGGGGCCGGATTCTCTCGACGATCGACATCTCCCCTCCCCTCCCCATCAATTCCAGCGCCGTAGGTTGTGTTTGGTCAGCCCAGTTGTGCCGTGGTCACCATGGTGTTCCATAAGCATGAACCCATTACCGTAAGCCGTGTACAGCCTCTGTGCCAGGGTCAGCTTTATGTGTGCGCTTCTGTGTGTGTACACAGGTGTGTGCCAAGGGTAAGCGGAGTGCTGGGTGGGCTTGGGAAGCCACACGGGATATGCACGAGCCTCCCCGCTTTCCCCGGGCTCGGGGGAGAGCACAATGGCTCGTTGATGGTGTGGTGTAGGCTTGAACTACTGGATCGTCAAGAAGACGCGCCAGGGCGAGGAGCGGACGCAGATCATCCACGATGTCGACCTGATCGTCAAGGTACCCAAGACGTCCATCCATCCATCCATCCATCCATCATAGACACACACACACACACGCACCCATCCCTCTGTCTCGATGTGTGTTCTGAGTGTGTCTGTTGTGATGCAGCCGGGCCAGCTGCTGGCCATCATGGTGAGTTAAGGAGGGGAGGCATGCATCTCTCTCTCTCTGTCTGTGTGTGAATGTGCGCAGGGTCCGTCAGGGTCGGGCAAGGTGAGAGGGGCAAGAGTGAGGGAGGGGAGGCGAGGAAGGCACACATGAATGTCTCAATGTGTTCAGACCACCCTGATGAACCTAATAGCAGGCAGGGTCACGGGCGGGGAGAGGGAGGGGTCCATCTACTTCAACGGCAAGGCAAGCATCCCCACGCAGCGATTGATTCGCGCATAGCAATCCCTGTGTGTGTGTGTGTGTGTGTGCGAACAGGCGAACCCGAAGAACCGGAAGAAGTTCGTGTCCTACGTGATGCAGAGCGACTGTCTGCTGGAATTCCTCACAGTCGAGGAGACCCTGCGGCTCAACGCGACCCTCAAGCTCAAACAACAAGAAGCCTGAGGAGAGAATGGAGCGGGTCGAAAAGGTCATAGCTGAGCTAGGTGAGACGACGGCACCGTTGCCAGCCACTTGGGAAGCGATGGGTTGTGAGTGGGACACTCTTTGTGTCTGCGTCTGTGGGCGTGCAGGTCTGCAGAAGTGTCGCGGGACGGCGGTTGGCGGTCCGATGAAGAAGGGCATATCGGGCGGAGAGAAGAAGCGCGTCTCCATCGCGATCAAGAGCTGCTGGACGACCCTGCACTGCTGTGCCTCGGTAAGCGGGTGAGTGAGAGAGAGAGAGAGAGAGAGAGAGAGAGAGAGAAGGAGAGAGAGACCCGTATGTGTGTGGGTGTGTGTCTTGTGGACGTATACGCTATGTGTATAGACGAGCCGACGTCTGGTTTGGACGCCGCGCTTGCCTACGACATGCTCAAGCTTCTCGTGCAGCTCGCAAAGTAAGCACCTGCACACACAACAATCAAAGCACACCCTGCACCGCACCCTGTCCCCCGTAATCTGTCTCTCTCTTCAGAGGTGGCCGCACGATCATCTGCACCGTCCATCAGCCGGTCAAACCTACCTCCATGGCTCCCTCAATCCACCACCTAACCTCCCTCTTTGTGTGTGTATGTCTTTGTCGCTTTTTGCGACATCAGAGGTCTCAGGTGTTCGCCCTCTTCGACCAGCTGCTGCTGCTCTCCCGCGGCCGAGTGGTGTACCAGGGGCCCGCCGTGGACGCCGACGCATATTTCAAGAAGCACGGGTACGTCTGCCCGGCGCACTTCAACCCTGCCGACTTTCTGCTCGACATCCTCACTGAGACGGTACGCTACGAGAATGTGTTGCAGAAAGTTGGGATGACTGTTCTCTCATATCTGTGTGTGTGTGTGTGTGTGTGTGCAGCGTGCCAGCGAGTTGGGCGGAAAAGCCGACTACGGCAGCAGAAAAGTAGCACCGGCACCGCTTGGCGATGAGGAGGGCAACAACGACAAGGTCACCACTGGGGACGGGCCAGACGCCCAACCAGATGCTCCTCCAGACGCACCAGCACCCCCGGCTGCAGACAACCATGGTAGGTAATTACTTACTTGCAGCCACATGACAGACCGCCCTCCATATCTGTGTCTCCCTCTGTGTATCCGTCTGCGTCAGCATCCATGGCAGACAAGGGCCGCACCAACATCTCCGGCGCCGAGATCGAGCGTTTCCCAGAACTGTTCCACCAATGCGACCTGGCGAAGAGAATCGGTGCTCGTCAATGCACACCCACACCTCTCCTTCTCTCGCTTTGTGTCTCTCGGTGTGTCTGTGTGTGTGTGTGTGTATGTGTGTTTCGCAGAGGATCAGATCGACAAGGAGCTGGACAAGCGCTCGGAGGGCGGGATGACGGCCGCGCCGCCCAATAAGATCACACTCGAGTCGGTCAAGCAGACGCTAAGCGGCTTCTGGCTGGAGGTCTGTGTGCTCGCAAAACGGTGAGGAAACGAGATTCTCTGTATCTATGGGCAGGCACACATAGACGGAGACAGAGAGAGAGAGAAAACATGTGTGTGTCTTCGTGTGGCGCCCATCTGTGTGTGTGCAGGACAGTGCTCAACAGTTTGCGCAATCCGTTGAAGGCCATGGGCGACGTCAGCCAGAACATCTTCATGGCCTTCGTCCTCGGCGCCATTTTCTGGTCAGTCAAACAACGGGAAAAAGACAGAAGCGACGACCGATTTGATTGATTTGTGTGAGTATGATTTGTGTCACATTTGTGTTGCAGGCAGCTGGGCGACTCGGGCCTCTCCGATGCCCAGAACAGAGCTGGCGCGATCTTCTTCGTTGCAATGAACTTCGCATTCATGCAAGTGCGTGTGGATGCCGCGAGCTCTGCCTCTCCCCTTCTGCCTCTCTCTCTCTCTCTCTCTTGCACACAGCACGTTCTCTGTGATGATGACACTCGCCCCGGAGAGAGCGCTGCTCAACCGGTCGGTGTGTGAATGCGTGAATCAAGGACACAGGGAGGGAGGGAGACGCAACTCCACCGCTCTCTCTCTCTCTCTGTGTGTGTGTGTGTGTGTGTCGGTGTTGTGTGTGTAGGGACACGGCCAACGGCATTCACGGAACGTTCGCATATTTCGTGGCCAAGGACATCGGGGAGTTCCTCTTCGTCCACGTAGGCAACCCATCCCACCCACTCAGTCACTCACTCACCCAGTCACATACACACAGCCAGGCAGACAGACAGACAGACAGGGAGAGAGAGGCTCATTTCGCCTGTTTCTCCCTTCCTTCTTGCATCCCCTGCCTCCCCTCCCCCTTTGTCTCTGATACTCAGATCCCGCCGACGTGTTTCTGCGCCATATTTTACTTCATGGTGGGTCTCCGCCCCGGCTTCGTATACTTCCTGAAGTTCCTCTTCATCTCCAACATCACCGTGTACGCCTCGTTTGCCCTCATGGTCTCCGTCGCCGCTGCCTCGCCCTCGCCTGACATAGGGAACATCTTCATTGGGATGTTGATGGTCATACTCATGGTGGGTGGGTGAGGCAGTGTGTCACTGTGTCAGTGTGTCAGTGTGTCTGGGAAGCGGATAGATGTTGGTCTGTTGATGGGCTCTCTGTGTGTGTGCGGTGTGTGTAGCTGACCTCTGGGTACTACCTGAAGGACGGGGACATCCCGCCATGGTGAGTGAGGCAGGCAGACCGACACGCCGTGCGATGTGGACTACGTCTCCACGCCTTGTTGCTCCCTCTGGGTGTCTGTCTGTCTTTCTGTCTGTCTGCCAGGATCGCATGGCTCAAGTACATCAGCTTTATCCGGTATTAAAAGTGAAAAGTGAAAGGGATGACAAGAATGGTCCACACAGCACAGACACCCCAGCCACCCCAGCCACCACGCGCACTTTCCTCTCGCCCTCCCTCTCTCTCCTCTGGCTGCCGGTGCAGTTACTCGTTTTTTGGCATAATGGTCAACGAGTTTGAGGGCAACGACCGCTTCCAGGACGACATTGACGGCGGCGACGGTGTGCTGGAGTTCTTCGACCTGGAGAAACAGAACTTCTGGACTCTGTGCTTCATACTCCTCGGACTAGGTCGGCTTAGCTTTGCCCCCCCAACACACACACACACACAAACCCACACAAAGGTACCCTTGTGTGTGTGCAGGCGTGGGCTTCCGCGGTGTGGCGTTTCTGTGTCTGCACTACCTGAACCGCAAGCTGGGGCTGGAGATTTGAGTACTTACCTACACACAGACATATATTGCATCAACGCGTGTGTCTCGCATTCACATATGCATACCGTCATGCGATGGCCGCAGTAGAAGCGAGAGTGGCTGACACACAGACGGCAGAGAGGCAGATATGGAGACATGACATAAGAACCTTCATCTGTCGTGCATTGGCTACAATCGTTTGAGTGCGTTGCCCATGTCGACGCCCTGTTGTGCTGGCTCCGTCTCGAGTGTGTCGACCGAGCCCGTGGCGAAATGTCCCAGTGGCCCACTCGCGAGTGACATCAGCAGGTACTCCACTTGTGCGTCGACCGACGGCATGTTCTTCTTGTGCTCGCTGTCGACTGCCTGCACCTCGCTGTGTGCCTCGCGCGCGTCGAGCAGAGGCGACGCGAAGAAGCCCGCGAAGCGCTGCAAGCCCTCGGGAAAGGCAGCCGCGTCCAACTGGGCGAAAAACACCGTCCTGCACGTTTGTTGGCAGAGAGAGACACAGAAGGGGACATGCATGTCTCTGTGTGTCCATCCAGCCGTGGATATGAGTATCCGTTCTTCTCTTTGTCTGTGAAGGCGTTTCCCTGGCCGCCAGCGCGTGTGAGGAACTCGTCGTATTCCGACGGCTTTGGGTAAGCCGCTGACCCCAAAAAGGCCATGTGCTCGCTGAAATGTGCGAGCCCATCAATGTCTCCGTCGTCATGGCTGCCGACATTGACCGCACACGCGTAGGCCGCTCGAGTCGCTGATGGGTCGTTCACCGCCACCGCCCGAATGCCGTTGGCCAGAGTGAAGACGCGGTAGGTCCGGTCGTCGAGGCGAGGTCTCTTGATGAAGTCGGTCTCTTGATCAACTGATCCGACGGCGGCAGCCGACAGCCAGCAGCACACGAGCAGACTCACTGTGACAGTCAACCGCATCATTGCAAAGTTAAGTGGTGTCGTTGGCTTGTGTTCTGAAAAGGCAGACAGTGAGTGTCAACGGCCGGATGGTCTGTCTGATCGACATACACGCAGCGGTCGAGTCTGTACGTAAGCTTATTGACTAACTATATTTCATTCATTCACTCATCATTGACTGCGGCTTTCCTTCACTCGTCCTTGTCGTCTTCCTCATCGTCAAAGTACTGCTGCCATCGCATTAACACAACACAACACAGAAACACGCTGCAGGCACATGCCTCTGTCTAGCTGCCGTGTGGTCTCTCTTACACCGAGGAGTGCGATTCCGACGAGTCCGAAGCTGCCCAGCGTCACCACCACGTGCATCGCCTGCTGGGTGTCCAGGCCGAAGGACATCGTGCCGATGCCTAACGTCGCGGACTAGAAAGGAAATTCAGACTGACAAACAGACATGAATTCAGGTACACACGCAACCGGTCAATTCAGTCCACCCACCCTCCTCCCTCCCTCCACCACACGAAGCACACGGATGGTGCCCACGTGGGTTCAGACGATTCATTCGACACATGCATGGGAAAAGACACATTCAGCAAATGACTCCCAAACAAACAAACAAACACTCACATACGAACGAAGGCAGCCACTCAGACGAGACAGATGGACGAGAAGAGAGAGAAAAAGTATCTACACCGTCGGGCAGACATGACATGGGCTTGGTGGTGATTGATCATCCGTTGGTTCGTTGGTTCGTTCGTTCAGCTAGGAGCGGCGCTTCTTGCGGTCCTCCTTCTTCTCGGCGTTGCGCATCCTGCCGCGACACACCCACAGGCACACCGTGGGTGGGTCGGTATAGTGAGTAGCGTGTGTGTGTGTGTTTAGTACGCACAGGATAATGAGGAGGCGGATGAAGATGGCGATCATGTCCACATACAGCTCACAAGCCTGAACCTGCAGGCAAGGCACACAAACAGACGGAGATGTACGTGTGTTGGTTGGTGTGGCTCTTTCTGTGTTCCATGTGGTTGTGTGTGCACCGCATCGACGCACCAGGAAGTCTTTCTTGCCGGCGTAGTACTGCTCGACGATCATCTGTGTGTCGTAGATCACATACCTACACACACACATACACACACACAAAGAGACAGGTGCACACATGAACGACGCACACAAACAAATAGCGTCTCCCTCCCTCCCTCCCTCCCTCACCCCATGAAAATCATCAGCCCTCCATAGAGGTTTACGTCCATTACGAAACGTGATCTGCACACACACAAACACAAACACAAACACAAACACACATGTAATACATGCGCTGCGTCCACAGCGGTATGTGTATGTGTATGTGTTGGCGGTGTTGGTGCGCACCGGAAGAAAATGTTTGCGATTGACGCCATTGAGAGGTAAAAGACGAACGAACCCAAGACGCCACCCAGGAAGATGAACTGACTGTACACACGGACGAACAGCCCCACAACATTATTGCACACGCACACACACACCCCATCCGACGGCCTCACCGTCGTTTAGCGCACAGGGCGGCCGCCGAGAAGCACGCGAAGATTGCCAGTGTGCCGCAGATGGCCGTGGGCACTATGCTGGGGTCAATGCGACCCGCCTGAACACACACACGCGCACACACAGACACACGCATGGAAAGGCTTGACAGACTGACGATGCGGCGTTGACCATATGTATACGCCTCCCTACCATGTGAATGAGTCCGGCGATGGACATCCCCTTGCAGAAAGTGAAGCCGACGAAGTATGCAAGCCGGTGGCTTGACATCACCTAATCACACAAACACACACACACACAGGCACATAGGCACATAGGCACACAAAGATGATGCAAAGACGGATAGACACACGCCCAGCCCACTTGTGCTGCCCACGCACTGCAGTGCACTCACGTTCTTGGCGTCATAGTGGCTCTTGCTTGTGAGGATGGCAATGAAGCAGCCAATGCTCACCAGGCCGCTCACCAGCCCGCCCAGTGCCATCACGTTGGTGTGGAACCACACACCCACCGCCGTAGACACCACACCTGTCATGTCAGCCAACACACGTGTACCCAAGCAACAGACAAGAACACGCTCTGAGCACTGTGAACGAATCCCGTGTGTGTGCAGTCAAGTCAGTGAGTGGGTACTGTACCAGCTGCGAGGACGGCATAGACCTTGCTAATGTGCTGCTGCGCCGGCTTGTCGAGCGGCGTGAAGTTGAGCAAAGTCTCGGGACGAAAGCCATTCTGTTGAAACGCTGAAATCGCCTCCATTGTCAGTCTTGTGCTCTCCAGAAGGGACGCCCAAACGCTTCGGTACTCGCTCACAACTTCGAGCTCGGAGAGAGCGGTTTCACGAGCTCTTAGCAGGAAGGCGAGCTTCGCGAAAGGACAGAGAGGAAGGAGGACAAGACGGGAGGTGAGGTGCCGGGACGTGTGGCTCCTGATTGACAAGAAATCGACAAGATGGATGTGCCAAACACACCGGCAGTGTGGTCGCCGCATCGAAGGTTTCTCGGTGAGTGAGGGGGAAGGAGGGAGATGTGACGGACGGTGATGAAGACAGACAGATCCATACACATGATGAGGGAGTGAAGGCGTTGTCGTGACTCTCTGTTTGTGCTGTCTGGGTGTGTTTGCCGCCAGGGTTGGCTCCAGCGACAACATGTTGCTGCGGCTGCACGCTGCAGATGGCCATGTACATCTTCGGAGTGCTGTCCATTGTAGGACACACACACCACGCACACACACACACACAGACACAGACAACTGACAGTGTTTGTGTGGCAACGTTTGTGCCCCTTCCTCCCTGTCTGTCTGTCTGTCCGTCTGTCTGTCTGTCTGGTTTTGCAGATCTGGGGGACGTTTGGGTTGATGGTCATCTTGTCGGGCAGCCTATCGGTGCTGGGGGTCTTCCAGACGGCCATCAAGTGAGTGGGAACACACACACATACACACAGAGACGGACAGATGGACAGATGGATGGATGGCTGCGCACACCTTACATTACCGGCCGTTGTGCTGTCATTAATGTCAGTCTTGGCTCCGGCTATCTTGCGTGGAGAGGTACGGGCACACACACGGACGAGATACATGGATGGACGTGCGTGCGTTTCTGTGCAGCTGCGGCCAACCTGCATCTGCCCTCAGCCAAGCTCTATTACTTCTACAGAATATAGTGAGCGCCAAACCGACCCGACGCAACGCAGCTCATAAGCCTGGGGTTGTTTCGTGGATTGGATTGTCACCAGCCTGGTGGTCCTCAATACAGTGGTCTTCCTCGGTCTGGCCATCGTCGTGGCCACGAGATACGACTGGGTGGGCGGGGCGGTTGTGTTGTGTTGGGTGGGTGGGTGCAGACAGCAGACAGACGCACTTGACAGACACATTTGCGTACACATCTGAATCCATTCTGTGTATGGGTGTTGGTGTGGTGTGGTGTGGTGTGCAGCTGAAGGATCAGGTTGGTCACACGATGGATGAGGCGATCAAGCAGCAGGAGGAGGCCAACCCCGGCAGCCAGCACCTCACCCCACAGCAGAGGAAGCAACTGACCGAAGACTTCACGTAAATGTTCCCACGCACACACCACACACACACAGACACGCAGTAGAGAGAGATCCATCCAAGCATTTCTCTCTCTGTGGACGATTCTTCAGGCTCGCGATGGTGAGCACCTACCTGGTGTCGACTTTCCTCGCCTGTCTGCTGTCGTTCTACTTCTGCTTCGTCGTCTGGTCCTTCAAAGAACGACTCAGCAGAGAAGGTATAATGCTGCACACACACATGCTCACACATCACCTCACACGCATTTGTCTGTCTCTGTGTATGTGTGTATGTCAGAGGTGCTGGTGGTCACGACTGGGCTCCACCCCGTCTTGGGCACGGCCAATGTATGCACGCCCACACAGACAGAGAGAGAGGTGCCGGCTGCTGTGCATATTCTGTGCTGTGGTGTGGTGTGTTGTGCTTTGCGTGTGTGTTGCATGTCTGTGTCAGCTGGCCGGCTACACAGTGGGAGGTGGCTACACAGTGGGAGGTGTGCCGACCGCCCCGCCCATGGCCATGGCCACACAGATGGTCCCCATGCAGCCACAACCCGACAGTACGCTACGCTCACACATTAGACACACACACACACCAACACCCAGACTCGTGTGTGTGTGCGATGGGACGGTAGGCGTGCGTGTTGTGCACAATGTGAGCGTGGCTGGGGGCGACCCGGCGCGACAGCCGCTGAGAAGCAACGACTACCTGCCCGCCGCAAATGGACAGGTAGGTAGCTAGCGACATCCATACATACATCATGCGTGTCTCTCGATTAGATGTGCAGCCATGAATGACCTCACGTGTGTGTGTGTGTGTGTGTAGGTTGCGCCCGAGTCTCAGCCGCTGAACCAGCAGACACCGAGGGAAGACGACCAGCAGCCATAGCTGCATCATGCCTTCCCTGAGGAGGCATCTTGCTCGAGCTCTGCTATATCACTTGTACAGCTCTCCCCTCCCTCTCTCTCTCTCTCTCTCTCTCCGGGTGGTGTATGTGCCCTTTGTTGTTTGCGTCAAGCCAACCAGACAGACAGACAGACAGACCGTTGTTTATTTGTTTGGCTCACCATTATATGTATTGGTGCACCCACCCATCATGCAGTGACCGCGAGACACAACAATCAAGGCGATGGATTGGATTGATGGAAGGAGGGAGGGATGCAGTGGGTGCAGATACAACGTATTTATTGTATTCATCACGCGTACGTTAGTTTAGTGTCTCTACGTGTGTAAGCTCGTGTGATGGATCCAGAAAATGACTTCCGTCAGTGCAGTGCTGCATGCTCTCCAACCAGCGATTGATTCCTGGAACCCGGCCACACACAGAAATGCACCAGGGCGGGGTTAGGGTATGGGGGGGTTTTGTGTCTGATGAGGAGAAGAAGCGCCATCGTTGGTGTCATGTCAGTCGCTCTGCAGAGGACGTACGGGTCGAATTTGATGGACGTCGCTAGCCGGGTGCTCAGCTGAGCCACTTACCGTCCCGCGCACTCACAGGTACGTACGAAAGGCCATCCGCGGCGGACTCCGCCTCTCTATACTACTATACCCCCCCTCCCAGACAGACAGACAGACAGACAGACAGGCAGGCAGGCAGGTCGTCCCACCCATCAATACCCCTTCAACACCCCTCAATGCATTGTGTCTGAAGCATGCCTGCATCATATCGTGCTGTGCTCGGCGAAATGATGCATGCATTGGCCGTGACGTGAGTCACGTGACGTGTCATGTGAATGTATGTCTGTAGGTGGGTGGTGCGCATTCGTCAACTAATTGTCGTTCGTGGGCCATGGACGACGCGGTGGAGGAGGTCCAGCCTCAGCCGCAGCCGCAGGGACAGCCGCAGGGACATGATGGGGCTGGAGGGGGAGGGCAGCAGCAGCAGCAGCAGCAGCAGCCGCCGGCGCCGCCGGGGTGTGTGTTGCAGAATACCCATGGCCAGTATATGGAGTTGCTTAAGCAATCCTTACTGTGGAGACGATGCTCGTCTTCTTCTGCCAACACAAAGGTAGGTACTTACGTCCGCACGCACACACGCACGTTCGTGCAGTGCCCTGCACGCCCGCATATATCCGCTGCCTGTCTGCATGTTCCATCGATCTCTCTCTCTCTCTCTGTATGGTATATATGTGTCTGTAGATGCCGACTGGCAGTACATTTTCCGCGACGTGGTCAAGAAGGTCTGCCAGGGCTCCGCGCACCCCAAGCAGCGGCCCGTGGAGAAGCAGTACTCCCTCTGGCTGCTGCCCGGACACTTCAGAGTGACCATTCCGCTGGACAACAATCGCATCAGCCGGCTCAACGCCCACCGGTGGGCCAAGATGGCCGTGGTCTGCGAGAAGATCCGCCTCATAGGCATCCGGTGGGACAAGTGGCTTCTCCTCAAGGCGCTCTCCAGCAACAAAAAAATCATCACCGTCACGCACGAACACGTGGTACACACGCATACACACACATACGGTCAGTCAACTGATCGGGGTCAGTCAGTCAGTCAGTCAGCTGTGTGTACCTGTCTGTCTATCTGTCCGTCTGTCTGTCTGTCTGTCTGTCTGTGGGCTGTCTGTCCGTGTCTGGAGCAGGAGAAGTTGTTTGAGAAGTACGAGAAGCAGCAGGTGGGCGCGATGCCCCTGGCGGTGCTCGAGTACGAGCTACCGGCGCTGGCGGGGCTCGGGGCGCCGCTGCACTCGATCACGTGGAGCTACCCCAATGGCGGCTGGGCGGAGCCGACCATCGATGCCATCAACTTCGCGACCGGCCGGCTGCACGTGCCCACCATCAGGCTGGCCAACCGCCACGACAACCAGCCCGACAGCGAGCAGATCGACCCACACCTGACCGTGTCCTACCTCAACCAGCCAATCCAGCTCCGCTTCTCCGACGCGGCGCTGATCAATCAGCTGCACCGCAAGGCACCCAACCCCATGACGCTCTCGGTGCGCATCGCGGCCGACGGCACGCCGGCCGACGTGCAGGCCGCCAAGGACATGCTGGCCAACTGGCAGGGGGGGCTGGGGGGGCAGCTCGCGGGGGTGCATCGGTGCGGCGTGCAGGAGCCCAACACGCCGCCCCAGCGGCCGCCGAGTGAGTACTTTGTGCTGTGCCTAGCGCCCTTCATTGCAGTGACCGTCACCGACACAACAGCCGACGACGGATTCGACGCTGAGGTGCGGACAGTGCTCACTCAGTGATCTGTCTGATGCTTGGCTGATTGGGTGGTTCCCTCCCTCCCTCCGTCCCTCCCTCCCTGGTCTGTTTGTCTGTGTTGGCTGTGCTGGGTCTATCATTTCATTGATTCAGGTTCGCATGGTGGGCGAGGCCGTGTCGCGGTGCCGGGTGGGCTCTCTGGCTGACCTCAACCGTGTGCTGGACGGCCAGCACTCGGACAAGTACGCCGGGTACATCCGCCGCATCCGGGAGGCGGCCGCCCTGCCCGGCCTCACCGTCACCGTCACGACCAACCACAAATACCTCAACATGAACCTCCACTAGGTACGTACGTACAGGCAGGGGCCGATAGATTAGACCATTACTGACGGTACATAATGCGGTCTGT